CCTTGTGGTGGGCCTCTAGGTCCCAGGTTGAATTGCTGTGAGCTCAATGAGCCTAGCTGCAAGGTAGCTTTCCTGTCGCAAAGAAACAAGCTAACATATTCATAAAAGCACATATTCATACGTTCCTAGTCCGGCCTCTTTAATAGAGGCAAGAGTGTGTGAGTGCTTTACTCAGTAGAATGCTTTCTCAAGATCGAGGGCTAAGATGGCTCTCGTGTCTCTGGTGACTTTGTCCAGAAGCTCATGTTTTAGCATCATCATGATGTCCTGTGCGGACATAGACGGAGGGAAGCCGATTTGGTTGAATGGTAGCATTTGTCACTCCTCGACGAATTTGGCAACTCGTTTAAGGATGACATGCTCAGCCACTTTACTCACACAGGACGGGAGCGAGATGGGGTGAATTGAGCTTATGGCTAGGGGTTTTCCCGGCTTGGCGATTATATGACAGATGTCTCCCCCCACTCAGGGGCCCCACTCGGGGGGATGTGGCCTGTTTCCCAGATTTTGTTAATGTGTTCCGGGAGGAGTTCGATGTCCGCTTCTTCTAAATTTTTAAGCATTTTGTTCTGTATGCTGTCGGGGCCCGGGGCCGAACAGCAATTGAGTTCAGTTGGGGCTGCCCGTACCTCAGCGCATGTGAAGGGGCCGCCGAGAGGGTCCTCCTTCATCGCGTTCGAGGTGGGTGGGTAGTCGGCAGTTGAGCTAAGGTGGATTCAAAAGTAACGTGCTGCTAGCTTATCAATCGTCTGAGTGTCTGTGCCACCTGAGGATTTGAGTTTGCGTATCAGTCTGTCTATAGCGAGTTGTTGAGATGCTTTGGATGGCTTGTCTTGTCACCTAGTAGGTGTTTCAACAAGTTCTATTTAACTCTGTTTCTCATTTGACTGTCTACGGGGTTGCACACTTCGTCCCACTGCTGACCCTCAAGGGTGTGGCGATGGTCTTCGATTTGCCGGTTGAGATCAGCTAACGTTTTGAAAAGATTACGGTTAAGCTTTCGTGTGCACCAACGCAGGTGAAGTGCAATTTCTAGCCTCTAGAAGGTGAGCAAGCCGGCTGTTCATAAGCTCTACCTCTAGATCTGTTGCAACGTCCTTAGTGTACTTAGTTACGTCCTGTTTAAGTCGAGTGAGGAGTTCTGCTAGTGTGTCATAATAGGTATCGTGTTGTTTCAGAGTTCTTGAAAGCGGTCCCAGTCTGTAATGCGAAAGTTCCTGATTTTGTTCATGCATGTGTTGATTACTGTTTGAATAATGTAATGATCACTGCCGAGGTTCTCACGTAGGTTCGTTCACGTAGGTTGTCCTGCATTTTGAACCATCATTAAATCAGGCGCGGTGTCACTGATAACCGAGTTGCCTATTCGGGTGGGAGAATCGGGGTCTGTTAAGAGTATAAGTTGAGTCTGTGTGTTTTCATTTGCAAAACCAATGCAGTTCCTTTACAAGAGGAGCATCTGTACGCGAAGTATTGATGCTCAGCGTTAAAGTCTCCTGCAATGATGAGCATACGATCCCCTTCCATTTTGCTCACTCTTTGAAAGAGAACTTTGAAAGTGCTCCGAGTGTTCTTGGGTGTCCTGTAGATGTTAAGAATAAAGATCGGCTGCTTTAGTTGCGAATTAAGGATGAGTTCAATCAAAATGTATTCCTCTTTGAGGTCTGGGCGGACCTCGTGGCGAACGTATGCGCATTTCTTTAAGATGAGTGTGGCTATGCCGCGAGTGCCCACGCGATGGTTCGCTTCAGTGCGGTAGGCACACAGAGCGAGTTCGGCGGCAAGGATCTCTTGGAATAGAATTACGGCAGGCTGGTCGGCACAGGATTTAATCAATTGTCGCAGGGAGGGGGGGGGGGGCTGCCTTTTGCTTTTGGAAGCTGATGCAATTCCATTGCCAAATCGCAAGATTAGTTTGGGGAGCCATTATTGCAGCATAGCCGCCATGATAGCTCAGTGGTTAGAGCATCGAATGCCATTATTGCAGCATAGGAGAAGGGGCGATTTGAGGCGCCGCGATCTGCCTTCCTTCTTCTAGCATTTTTAGCCGAGCGCTATGCTCGGTTAGCTGTAGTTTAATGGGGGTGATTTCTGCTATCATAGCTACGCAAAATTGCTCAAGTATTTCGGTCAAGTTCGCTTTAGTTAGCTATTCATCCTCTGTGTTTTCAGCTGCCCTGCGTTTCGCAGTGCGACTCATGGCTGCTGCATGAGAAGGAGCTGAAGCTGCAGCGTGTGCGTCGGGTGCCGGTCTGCTGACTGCGCGTTCGTTCTGCTGTTGCATGATTCGTGTGTCGGGTGCCGGTTCGGTGACTCCGCGTTCACTCTGCTGCTGCATGTTTCGTAAAAGCGTCTTAATCTCGGTAAGTTTTTTTTGCATAGAAATCCCTTCTCACATTCTAGTGTCTGTATTTTATCAGTTACATGTTGTGGCAGTTGTCTCGCCTGCTCAGGGCTGCGGGTCTCACCTTTATTAGTGACTCGGTTTGTCGCATTGTGCTTTTCAAAGTGGGTGGTTGAGTCTGGGCCGGCTGCTTGGGCGTCGACATTGGCTGCTGTTTGGTGGTCACTGGGTTGCCTTGGGTGGGTTGACTGGTGTTGCGTCTGTGGCGTCGGCGACGTCAGACGATGTAGGGCACTGGATAGTAGTTTAGACATGTCCGAGCACCTGTAACGTGGGCTTGTTCGCACAGTGCACATTTTGGTTGAACACACTCATGTTCACCACCGGTGAGTTGAACACCACAATGCTCACAAACTTTCGTGGTCGGAGTCGGGCACACATTTTCGCAGTGGCCGACGCGGCCGCAGATGCGACAAGTGTCTTATTTGTCTCTTGTATAGCTTCCAACGTCGCAGTAACATACCGCAGCGCGAGTAGTTCGGTACTTTCAGTCCATTAAATAGGAGTATCACAGTAGTCGTATTCTTGATGCGGTGCATGCTGAAAAACATTGGGTTGTGCGGCGTCAGAAAGAGGCGTTGTAGTTCCGAGTTCATTAGGTCAGCCTCGACCCCTCGCACAACACCTCGGCTGGCGTTGCCGGGTGCGGCGACGTAGGCAGAAAGGGGGTAGCGTTACTTTATCAGGGTGATTTCACGCATGTTAGCGTACGCTTCAGCATTGACAGAACTTGGTGTACTTATAACGAAGATATTTTGCGTGTTATTGGTACACACAATGTCTTCATCGGCAGCGGTTGGCTGGAGCCGTGCTGCGAGTAGTAGTGATTCTAAAAATTTGATCTTGCTGGACTTACGGACGAGTCTTCGCTTGGGTGAACGACGACCCGGCATGGATTAGCGGGTAGAAGTGGGAGCCGGCTGGCGGCTGCAACCATCTTCAATGCTCTGGCATGCAAGACGCCGACGGAGAAGTGATCACCCAAGAAGAAGCCAATGCACCTGGCTGGATTGTGCTCACAATAAACGCCCCGCAAGCTCGCTACAAGCTGCCGGCAAACAACATCACATCCCCACCGGCGCCTTGTACGTAACCTTCTTCAATGCTCCGGCATGCAAGGCGCCGATGGGGAGGTGATGTTCTTTGCTGGTAGCTTGAAGCGGGCTTGCGGGGTGTTTCTTGTCAGCAGCAATCCAGCCAGGTGCATTGGCTTCTTCTTCGGTGATCACTTCTCCATCGACCATGGCTTCAAGCATGATGGCTGTGCAGCGGCGTGAACGCCGGCGTCGGATGAAGTGCGTAGTCATGCTAGGCCAACGCGAGGCCTAGCTCGTTTGAGATTGGGTGAGAGTGGAATGATGTTCCTAAAGAGGATGAAAAGGAGGTCTACCGGGCCAAATGTGTTGCTCGATTGTGCCCCAGAACTTGCTGAAGATGACAGGTAGGTAATCGAGAAAGATTATCCACACTCGACCGACAAAATCAAAGCCGAAAAGTGGAGCTGATGTCGTCACGGGACACTGTACATTTTGTTCAGTTATTCATGACGCCGCATAATTCTGAGTACCAGTATAATAACTGACATCTAAATAAGCTACTGGCAATCATATGGAGCAGTGTATGACATTTCTTCTTCCCTACAAAAAACAATTTTGCGCCTTTTTTGTTTGCCGCCCCTACTTTTCGGTTTTACGAATCTCCCACATTTCAAGGTCACGAGCTTGGCAGATCCATGTTTAAATTTGCAGAGTCGATCAAATGATGTGACAGGCACAGCGAATGCTCATGTGGACTTTATCATTGTTTGCTCAGTAGGTGGTTCAAAAAACTATTTTCAATGAAATAGCAGTACTCATGTTCGCACTGCACAATTTAGGTGATGTTTAATGGTTTATACATATTTTTTTTAATGTAAGCCTTCTTTTTTATACTGCTCCAAACTTGGCATTTCATGATAAAAAAAATGCATGTTTTATCCTCATAACCTTCCCCGAATTTTGATTTTAGTGCTCCAAAAGTAACACTCTGCTGCTCCAAAAACTGCTCCAAATCACATTTCAGCTGGTGCACCCCTGCTTATGGCTTTCAGGCCAAGATATGATTCTTCATATCTGATGTCGATCATTCTATCTATTCATGTATGGTTTATGGTATGCAAGTAAGATCTAGGGACAGGTGTATATGGGTATAGATTTATGAAAGTATAGGTATAGATGTATGGCGGTAAGGGAAATCGAAGAGGAGTGCATGAGGTTGGGGCTGCAGAGAAGGCTGGAAAACAGGCTCTGTTCTCTACTTCTATGATTTGTTTTTTTTTCTCTTATAGTTTTTGCATTTCTAGCATTCATTCTCCTTTCTTCACAGACACAAGAGCCAGATGTAATTGTAGTCAGCTATAATGTAGCTTATAAAACATTGTTGCAAATGGTTTATTTGACCATGAACAAGATACAAAAGTTCACAGTGCAGAGGCTTCCCATTACTTCCTATATATTGTACAAATCAGTGGGGTCAACTGTATATTATGCATACAAATAATACAGTGTCCTCTCTTATATTGTCTTCATATTAGCCATACCTTTTGTCCTCATGCTAGGGGTTATCCAACCAAGCAGACAGCAAGCGCCCTGCAGGGTCACCAGTTGATTCAAAAGCTGCTCTTACGGGTGCCTTGTCCAAAAGCCTTGATAGCTACCGGGAGTCTTCATCAGACTCTGGGAAAGAACAGGCAAGTACTGTTCAGCATTATCTGTTCTTCTTGTGAAAAATGAAGTAAATCTTAGCTGGGTCTCATTATTGTACATGTTTTCCCAGGCTGCATTGTCTTAAATCGTAACATTCCTGTCATGTGAGCAGTATGCATGCCAAACCCGCTACAGGTGTTCAGTGGCTGTGGTACTTCGGTGATGAACATGAGGTTGCTTTTTGGCTCCAATCTGCTGTAGTTACGTTATGATGACAGCAGTGCATGACAGTGTTCATGGGCTTATATTCCATTGTGCAGAATAACTCACTTTAGACAGTCACTGTGTCACAGCACTTATAATTTATAAGTGACACTGTGGTACAGTGACTGTCACCCATTAGTTAACTGTCATGCACTCCAGAATACCAATAATTTTATAGTCTGCGGGGCGACGAATTCAATGGAAGATGCTATTTGTAATTTATGGCCTAGGGAAAGGAACATTTTACTGTATACATAAATGTTCAATAAATGTTTATGGTTATTTCAAATATGTAGTCAATTTTATAGTAAGCTGCATAGTTTTCATTTTGTACCATGAAAATGTATAAAATATATTTTTTGGACACGCTTTTTTGCCACTAAACATTTTTATGGTTCTAAACCAGTAATAGCTCATATTGCTGTACATCAGGGGTTGTCAAGCATGTTGGTACCAGGGAACCTTGTTTACCTACATTAAGTGCCAAGGAACGCCCCCAAGGCGAGATTTTTTCAATTTTATTTTCAATAAATTCAAAAGCAAGGGTATATATAAAAGTTTATTCTCCAACATGTGACTTAACTTACTTTCTTTGCGCCAACAAATCGATCTGAGGCTTTATAACAGCATTTATTTTGCAGCTCGCATGTTTTGTTACGCACTCAGATGTTCTTATTGAGGCTCGGGTGTGAATAATGGAGGTCTTCTAGATTAGTCACACCTCGGGATTGCCATCTTAGTGAGTTGAGTGGGTGAGTGCTGAACCAGAGAAAATTTATCAGTGGCTCGCGGAACCCCGAGGAGGGGCCAGCGGAACCCTTAGGTTCCACAGAATGCACTTCGAAAACACCTGCTCTACATAAACTGTAGAATGGGAATAAATAACAAGAAAGTGCATATAAGATATTTTAATGGAGAAGAAAAATTGAAATGTGAAAAGTTTCGGAATGTTCAGGCCATATTATTTGCTTAATTTAGGTTCGGAACAAATACCGTATTTGCTCGCAAAATGAATGCACTCGTAATAAACGCACTCCCAACTTCAATCATCAAAATTCGGAATTTTTTTCCCCCGCGTGATAAACTCACCCCCTACATTCATTTATCCACTGTCCCACCAACCAACACCTGGCGCCTCTTCACCCGTTGGACCTCTCTTTCGTTTGACCATGGCTCGCTCCCCCCTCCCTTTTCGCACGTTGCCGCATGCCGTATTTTTTTTCTTTTTATCTGTGCACAGGACGTCCCCCATTTTATCTATGTACCACAGCGGGGTTCACAACCGCGTGAGTGTAGAGACATCGCAGCTGATAAGCTCTCAGCGCTCACTGTGTGCTTAAAACTTCCCGCACCAACCGATCGACGGTCGCTTTCTGCTAATACGGAAAAGCCCAACTGCGTGCACGCGATTTTCAAGTGACGATGACTGGAATTGCTGTCTCGAAGGGTCATTCATCGCTATCGCGTCGCAGGTTCCTGGACAACCAAAGATCGTGACGATTTCCGCAACATGGTAGCACCCTACATTCTCACTTCACTTGTTATCCATGCATAGAGGAACTTCTCATATAGAAGCGAGGCGGCGGTCGTATTTTGTCGTTAATCTTGTTATTGACGGTTTGTTTTGATGCTTCGGGGGTAGCTTGCCACATTGTTGGTTACTTGCTACAATGCTAACGGCGGCGTCACGGTCGCCGTGCGTGGTTGTTGCGAAGTTGGCAAAGTGTGTCGTAGCATCGTAGCGCACACTTACGGGTGCCCCTCGAGATCACAGCAGATACTACTGTTGCGGTTAAACAATTGCGAGAAAAGATAGTGGTAAAATGCTTTTATGGCATGTGCGGGCGGCCCGGAGAAAAGCTGTTTACAAACAGTGTACGCGTACATCACTTGCGAAAGGCTAAGCGACCTAACTTTTTTTTTTGCAATACCGCATTTTTTTGGTCCTCCCGAAAAAGTGTTCATAAATTTACCCTGCGTAATCAATGCACCTTCCCCCCCCCCCCCACTTTGCTCCTATTTTTCAAAAAAAAAGTGTGTTCATTACGCGAGTAAATAAAGTACATAGGCAATATCAAGTTATAACGGAGATACTTACACTCTTCTCTTGTTAAAAAATATGTGGGCAAAATGTCATCTGGATCTGCGCACCAAAGCATCAAAAAGAAGATGCAGAACTCAGGCAGTTGGCCTAATGGTATCTTCAAAAAAAGTTTAAAGGTATATTATAAAAACCCCCATATAGTTTAGACCCGCATAGCAAATGCAAGAAAAAAAGTTTGCACCTTTCCACAGAAGCATTCTTGAACTCTTGAGCTACAGGGGTCGAGGGTATGTTCTCAGTGTTGCCATTGTGCCTTGGGCTGCGCGCATGCCGTATGTGCACACATGGTACAGTTGGGTGTAGTATGAGTAAAAGGTGCCTCTCTCTGATAAAATGTGACTCGTGGCAGCAAATTGCGTGTATTAGAAAAACATACCATCTGGTCGTCACTGTGTCATGTACGGGTGCACGTAGAAGTGCAAGAGGAATAATTTTAGTGAAATCATTTCTGCAGCAAAGTACGCCACGTGTTGAGGACAAATGGGATATGTTCGCGCTGCATCACTTCCCGTCGTCGCCTGGGTTGCAGAAGCAGTGGGTGTCATCAGTAACTTGAAAAAACCTCTGGGTGTCATGCCACCCCTCTGTTCATGGCACTTTGTTGGCAGCAAGAAAACCTTCGAGAACAATATTCCTGTACTGCACTCGGATACTGGAAAAAGGTACAGACGGAGTCGCACGTGTCTAGAGTGCCCAGCTGGCCACTTTGATTGTCGTTTTCTGCAAAAATACGCAAATACCGATGCCAAAATATTGCCTAACTTATAGTTACACAGTATGCACACTTTATTGCTATAATTCAAGCATGATCCGAACTCTCGCAGCCGATGTGAAGTAGCAGCTGCGGACAACAGCACCCCCAGCCATACACCACACTTCTCTAGGCAAATGCGATTACGTCTGTATGCAAATCGTTGAAGACTTGCTGCCGCTAGTACCCATGATGAAGCACCGTTGTTTGCACACATGGAGCTCATTTTTGCGTCACTAGCACGAAAGCTCGCCGCTGAACGGCTCGGACAGCGACGAATCAGTCAATGGCAGCGACAATTCACATAAAACAGTCTTTGCAAGGGAAAATTTGGCGAACACAGACTTTAGCAGGGATTCCACACCAACATAGAATGCGCCAGTTCGCGTACACGCAGCCCTAGATGGTGTGTTTGTCAAACATTTCACTACGGTAGCCCCCTGTCATGAAAATTTGAAAATGCGTACAGACCGAGGAATACAAAAATTCATTTATTAACACTCAATTACTCATCGTCATCTAATGAGCTCTCATCCAAAGCTTCCTTATTGGACATGTCCTCCCACAGCCCTTGTCACCACTGCCACAGAGGGTGTTTGAGAAAGAGCTCCTGGGGCATGCAGGCCCAAGCGTCGGCGATCCACAAGCACAGAATCGCTGGCGAGACCCGCTTCACTCGTCCAGCAGGGGTCACTTCCTGCACTTCGGACCTCATCCACTTCTTATAATTTCCTATACAGACACTTCATGTGGTCCTTAAATGGCTCATTGAGGCACACATCAAGCAGCTGCAGCTGGGATGTCATCGCTCTCGGGATAACGACGAGCTTGGTGCAAGAGTCGCACAGCAATCTCTTCATGGGGTCTGCCAGATGGCACCAAAATGCGTCGAGCAGAAGCATCAATGGGAGCGCTAGCAGTGCCCCGGGTCTTCGATGCCACACGGACTTGATCCGGCCAAGTACGAGCAACTCATCTATCCACCCTTTGTCCTGGCAGCGGATGACAACATTTCTTGGGAATTTCTCCCCTTTTAGCAACGTCTTTCGATTCAACATGGCATAGGGTGGCAACCTGTGCTCATCTGTTGTGCAGGCCAGCATTAGTCACCCGTATTTTTTTATTCCCAGTTGATTGCACGGTAATTTGCCTGGAGCCTTTTTAATGAACTGTTAAAGCTGAGGGCATATCGAGGGACACAGGTGCTGATCAGTGTTTCCAATCTGGCCCAGCTGAAAGGAGTTCGCAATGCAATCACATGATTCTGAAAGCTCACAAGCAGCTCTTCGTAGTTTTTCGGTACTTCTGTGATATCAACGCAAGCTGACGTAAGGAGAATACAGCGCAGTGCATGAAGCAGGACTCCCATTGCTTGCTTGCCTTGAAGACCGCCTGCTTAACGCCTTGATCTCGTGCGATCTCCCTTGCCTTTGCTTGCAGCAGCTCAATGTTGGCAGGGAGCTGTGTAGCCCGTTGCTCCCGAACTAAATTCAGCATTTCTTGTTCAGTGTCAAAAAAAGCTCCCATGTTTCGGCCCCCCAAAAACATTTTCGCTGGCCTCTGCATACAAAGAGGGCTTTTTTTCTGCTTTCTCCAGCCGCGAATGCACCGCTCGTCCACGCCGAACTTGCCCACCTAGGGGTATGTTCGGCGTGGACGAGCATGGTACTTTCCCGCTTGCAGGTGTGTGCCACTATCTGGCAGAAAGTGTTAGACAACGTTCACGACAGGAGTGTGACATCATTCACGTCATGACCGGCGAGTCGTATTGGTCAAACAGTCTTACGTTGCCATACTAACTTTTGTTCACGCCAAATTAAGGGGGTGATCACGAGAGCACCCAGACGTAAGAGCTAAGTAGGTAGGTAGGTAGTTGGATGGGTAAGTGGGTACACAGACGCCGAAATCGCCTGCAGCACGCAAAGAAAT